CTGTTTTACAGACTATGGCGACTTGTGCAACAGCCGCATCAACCCTGTTCAGCTTACTTCTTGTGCTTACTTTTACATGCGCGACAGTGGTCCGGTCAAAATCGGTGAACCGAAATACAGTACTGGACGATGATGATGAAATGGATGCATCCGAACTGATTGACAGCTTCTTGGAGCGAGCCAAACAGAATACTCGACATCACAGGACACATCGGTAAAGCTTCGCCAAAAATTTGAAGCCCAATTTCATGGTTCCCTCGCCTACCGTAATCCAATAATACAGCAGCTGCTCATGAAAGCTGAGAGTGAGCAGCGCGGTCGGATCGGAAGAATAAATCCTTAGCCAGCTGGTTTACCTAAGCGATTTAGCAGAAGTTTTGATTGCGCAACTGCCCATCCTTCGATGCAGCTATTTTGTAAACCAAATCTATGTGACCATATGCGAAGCACAAACACTGCAAACAGTGATTGCGCAAAAGCGGTACGGTCTGTTTAACCCAGATGCTCGTTGAAACTGTAAATCGTTTTTGCAGGTTAGCAAGACGGCATCGCGTACAGGCTTACAGCCCACAACTCACAAGCCTCGATGCGCACGGACGAGAATACGTGAAGTGTCGGAAAAGCATGATTGAAGGGGGTTCAGTGGTCCGTTTGTTTTGCGCTTTTTTTTTTCGCTTGCGCAAGAAAACTCAACATGAAGAGAACAAATTTTGATTCCAAAGAACGAACAGTTTCTCCTTTTCACATCCCTGACACCGTTTCCGAATCTTGCCCAGGACCTACTAAATGAACTATCTCTTTTCACTTCTTGATTTCGTGGTCTTTCCTTTCAATCCATGCATTTCAAGGCCTCTGTGGCAGGAGTAATAAGTATCATTAGACATACGAGCTCTGGGAACTGCGCAGTATGTTTTCATCAGTTGTGACAATTATGCTCCCTATTTGAATCATTATTCTAAGAGTTTGCATTCAATTCCCAGTCCCTCATTTTCAGTCTGCTTGCTTCAATCCGAGACTTCTTATACATTTTTAATTCTAATGGAAGCAGCAGGCGTACCAATCAGTCCTGAGCATTCACCATTACTGACTGAATTCGAGCCGCTCTCAGCTTTCAAACAATTATTTATAGAGATGTTTTTCCTTCATTAACAACCACCTCGTTTATTTCCTCCCCGATTGTTACCCAATCTTTGATGGCAC